TTAACTTGAACTTGTACCCTGGATGAGAAGGGCCACCTTGGAAGTTTGTCCTATTTGAGCAAAGGAACAGCCTCACTCGTATGACTTAATTTTTAACAAGACCATTTGGACAGCCATGTTGAGAAAAAAATGAAGGGAAAATTGGGGCGTAAGAACTAAAACAGAAGCAAGGAGACCAACTAGGAGGGCATTAAAAATAATCTGAGCAACAGGTGATGGTGGCATAGAGCAAGATGTTAACAGCGGAGATGGTGAGAAGTGGTCAGATTCTCATATTTTGGACTCTGGCAGAAAAGGTTTGCTGACTGGATGTGAGGTGTGAGAAAAAGAGGAACATCAAAGATGATGCCAAAGTCATTGGATTGAACACATATACGGATGGCATTGTCATTTATTGAGATATAGAAGTGGGAAGGGAGTGAGTTTGGATGATAATAATTTTGGCAAATTTAGCCACGTTAAGATTGAGATACATATTAGACTTCCAAGTAGGCAGACCTATGAAGTAGGCAGTAGGATATATGAGTCTGGGTTCAGGAGAGAGAGACGAGCATCCAGGGAGTCATCAGCATATAAATTTAAGCTATGAGATGCGATGAGATCACCAAAGGAGTGAGTGTAGGTAGAAGATAAAACACATTCAAGGACTAAGCCCTGGGACACTTTGATGTTTAGAGGTCAGAGAAATGAGGAGAAATCTCAGCAAAGAAAATTCAGGTAAGACAATGTGGCAACCTGTAAGTCAAATGAGAAAAAGTGTCAGCTTCTGCCGGTTGATTAAGATCAAGACCAAGGATTAACCACTGGATGTAGCAGTATGGCGGTTGTTGATGACCTTGTTAAGAGTGGATAAAAGTAGCTTGAGTGGAATGGTGAGTAGATTGGAGTGGAATCGAGGTAATGGGAGGAAAGAAATTGATGACATCAAGAATAAACTCTTTCAAGGAGTTTTGAATTATGGGATGGGTAGAAATGGAGTGGTAGTTGGGGAAAGGGAGGTATTGATGGGAGTTTAATGAGAGAAATAATAGCTTGTTTAAATGCTACTGGGAATGGTCTAATAGAGATTGGGAATGTGTTGGTACAGGATAGAGAAGAGAAATTTGTGTATCACAGTATCCTTCAGAAGGCAAGAGGGATGGGGTGCAGTGTTTCAGAACAGGGGGCTGTCTTAACTAGGAGCACTGATACATAGCCTATGCCTGATAACAGGAGAAAAAGATGAGGTAGGTACAGAGCAGATGGTGGCAGATGAGTAGACTTGGTTGAGGGTGCTGTGGCAATGTTGTTGTTTTTTTTGTTTTTTATTGCTTTTATTTTCTGAGTGAAATGGGAATTAAGGTTATCAGCTGAGAGTGAGGACAGGGAAAGAGGTGATGAAGGCATAGGAGAAAGATGAAGTAAACTATTTTGATAACTATTATCTAAGGGAATGGAAGGGTGAAAGCAATTGGGAAATGTATTGTGACTGGCGGGAGGCACCCGGGCTGACTTGAAGGTGGTGATTGTGATAAAGTCCAAATGAGACCAGTCCATTTGGTGGTGTGTTTCTCTTCAGCCACATTGTGCTAGGCAGGTGCAGGCTGGGCGTAAACAGACAGTGGGATTTAACCAGGTTGTGGTTTAGCTTAGTCCCAGGAATTTTCAAAAGTGGGACAGAGATTTGGGGTTGAATACAATGGTTATGAGGATTGCTGTGATTTTCCAATTGAGTGGGGGAGGAGCAAGGGCAGAGGTCAAGGAACACGATGTCAGGCTGTTGGAGGGATTGTTTGCTGGTCATGAAATCACCATGACGCATGGCAGGAGTTCCATAGGTCTAGAGTCTGTTAGAATAGATGACAGTGAGTAGAACATAAAGCCTTTGAGGAATTGGGGAAATGACTAAGGCGGACTGATGCCTGCAGGAAAGATGGGTAGAGTGGCAGGACCTGAAGGCATGAGCTTCACAGAGAATTAACCTTAGGAAGGATAAAAGAGCAATGGTTTAGAAATTGGACTGAAGAAAAAGGATGTCTACCCACCTCCTGGCACAATGGCATGAAGAATGTGGGGAGAAAACAGTCCCTACATGAGAGGGCTGTCGGGGAAGGGGCTCCTCAGCCAGCTTTCAGTTAGAGCTGAGATGAAGGGCATCTTCCCAGAAGAGGCTGAGGACCTAGGGGATTTTGCTGATGATTGACCAGGAATTCAAGAGGTACAGTGGGAGGACTTCAGGAGGAGGAAGGAGAAACATGGGCATTCTAATCGGGGGGCGAAGGGAACTTATGGTTCTTTGAATGACTTTCTCTGGAATCCAAAGTCCCAGTATAGGATGGTCTCACCTATGAACATCTTGCATCTTATTACTCCCAGGTTGCGGGTGTGATTCCATTAATTTTCTGAGCTTTCCTGGCAAGTAGGCAGCATCATGCCCACTCCTGTTCCAGTTCTCTTTGACACATGGTTTGTGTCCAACCGAGGCGGTGTTATTGCTGTGCTGTTGCCCTAAGGAAGCCGTCACATCCCTGCTGATTGTGCTGGCCTTACTCACGGTGCCTCAGTGGGGTCTGTTGAGGAGGAGAGAACTGGAGAGAAAGGCTCCCCCAGCTTAGCTGCCAAGTAGTGGTGTTTGCCAAGCTTGAGTGGCTTGCATAGCCAGCTTTAAAAACTTACAGCTACAGAGCATCTGTACTATTTTTACTTAATGGTTTTTTTGTATATACCTTTTCTTCTTATAGAAATATATTTTTTATTTTATTTTTTATTGTGAAATAAACATTTTTAAAAATTAGTTTCAGCTGTACAACACAGTGCAATAGTTATACTTTTTACCCCTCAAAGTGACAACCCCTCACCCCCAATCCGCTGCCTCACTCCCTGCCCCCCCATATCATACATATCTATTACAATTCCCTTGACTCCACTCCCACACTATACTCCATGTCCCGTGACCATATATATATATTTAATTATAGTTGACATGCAATATTATACAACATCAGCTTCAGGTGTACAGTACAGTGATCAGGCCTCTACCCCATGCATGAAATGGTAGAAATATCTTTTTAAAGTTAACTTATAAGAAGAAACATATCAATTTAAAGAGTAATTGTGAATAATGAATACAGAACCAGAATGATGAAAATAGAAAATGTCCATCCTTATATACCCCCAAATCATCTTATTTGCCACTTTGGGAAATGAGTGAACCAGAAAATGGCTAAGTCTCAAGACTCGCTCCTCCCCCCGAAATGACCTACATGTGTATTCACTCCACTACTGCTTCTGTTTTTCTGCTGATCCCCTATGGCTTACATGCTGGAGCATCAGTTTGAATTATTGTGCTCCTGAAGGGCATGTCTCTAAAGTGCAGGATAAGGTTTCCCATACAGACACATGGCTCGTGCAAAGGCCCTGAGGTGGGGAGGAGTATGTGCATTCAGGGAGTGAACATGAGTGAAGACACCTAAAGGGAGAGAGACTTGAGGTGAGGTTGCTGCAGACAGTAGTCGGGGTCTTTAAGGTTGATAATGTGGCTCTTTTCCTAGGAGCAGCGTGAAGCTCCTCAAGGGGGAGGTGGAATATCCAACTTAAGTTTTTAAAAGCTCCCCTGTCAATTGTGCAGAGAAGGGATGAAGGGGTAAATGTGGCATAGATAACTGGGAGAGGCCCTGGCAGAGTGAGGCATGATTGCCTAGAATGAGATGGCAGTGATGGTGAAGAATGGATGGATGGAGTTCTAAGAAATGTTTCCGAGGTAAAAGGAGAGCAGGAACTCCTGCTTGTTCTACTGTGGGCATGTTAGTGGGCAGGGGGAGATGAGGTTGGCTTCAGCTTCTATCTGGCATAGCTTGGTGGAGGATGTTGAAACGCACTGAGATGGAATACCAGAAAAGAACTAAGTTCTCTAGCTCTAGATATTCTCTAGCAAGAATACAGAGGGTGTCAAAAAAAAATGTATACACATTTTAAGAAAGGAAAAACTCAATATGTATCAATAATAAAAGATGAATACAAATCACATTTGACTTCTGCAATTACCAGAGGTGCTCAAAGTGATTACCATCTGCATCCAGACAATTCTGATGACGGCGAACTACTGCTTGAGCAACGTTGACCAAAGTGTCCACTTGTATGCATTTTTTTGGACAACCTTGGTATGTCTAGTTCAATTTTAGACACATTGAATTTGAGATTCCTGTGTGACATCTAAAAAAGATGTCTTACAGGTTCAGTACTTGGGTCTGCTTCTCAGAAGAAAGGTGGGAACTGACACAGGAATTTGAGACTCGTGAGCCCATGCTTCAGGTGTGATTCTAAAGGTGACATTGTCTACCAGCTTCTGCTTGTCACTGTGACCTCAGTATGTGAGCTGATGTGTGCTCGAGTTTCCATCCAGTCAGCTCATTCAGCAGCAACTGCAGGTTAAAGGTTGAATTGAGAATTCTTCCTCTGCAATAAGGAAATATATTGTGTTTGTATATTAGCAATCATTTAGATGTAGAAAGATGTTTTTCTCCTTTTTCTACTCTGCCCTTGTTTCCCCCCCCCCTTTCTCTTTCTCTTCTCTTTCTCCCTCTTTCAGTCTTTTTTCTGCTTTTCCCTCTCTTGTTTTTCTTTCCCTCCTGTTCACTGTGGTGGCATCCGGTGACCTGCACCAACATTTTGTATGGGCACATCGCCATGAGAGAATGGTCACCCTGTGGGATTTTCTTTCTACAACCCAAGTGGAGGGTTAAGGGACACTTTTCACAAGTCATTAAGAGGTAACTGTCTGTCCCTGACTTCACATAGGCACATGCTGCTTATAACCAGATTTGGAAACCAGAGGTGCATGCTCAAGGTACAGAGCAATTATTATTTAAAAGTCTTATTTATGCAGCGAGATTAATGTTTTCAATTCTGGAGAAAATTTGCATGCTAATAACTTTTTGTTGATTTTTAAATTATTTAAAACATTTTTTTGTCACTTTTTCCTCTAATTCATGCTGATTTATTTTTATTTTCCTTGTTAATAGATTACTGTCCTGGATGAAACATGGACTGTATTCAGGCGTTACAGTCGTTTTCGAGAAATGCATAAAACATTGAAGTTAAAGTATGTAGAAGTAAGTTATAAAATGATTATTTCCAATGAAGAACATTTGTTTTATTGAGTAAATGCATTGATTGCATTATTAGTGCCCTCCTCCCCCTTTAGGTTATTAGCTTGTGTCACCAAGTTTTGTTTCAATTACTTATTTGTCGAAGATATCTTTTTAATTTTTGTCCTTTGTTTCATTTTTATTCTACACAATTTAAACATTTTCTGAACATAAAATGTTGAAAGTGATAAAGTGACAGTGAATGAAATATTTTTCATAAATTTTATAATAAATTTTAAATAAATATTTTGATCAACTTACAGCTTCTTATCTGTGAGTGACATCTATTAAAATGAAATAGCAATAAATTCTTCAGTATAGATTTGCCCTTTTTCTCTCTTAAAAAAGACTGATATTAAATAGTATTCTATTTAAAATCGAAGAAGCTTCAATTACATTATGAATTATATAAAGTGTTCCCAAGAAACTTGTTCTTCAAAGTCAAGTTGTTAAGTTTGTTTCTACAGTTTACTCTTCATCTCCCAAGTTAATATTGATAATATTGTATACAATATTCCCACTATATTAAGGATTTCATATACATGTGTACATGCATATATATGCATTTGTATATGAATTATGTACATATTATTCATTCCATGATATATTTTATATCAGGTCTTTCAATACCATCAGTTCAGTGCCATTCTGTATAGGCATATTTTTTAGTTTCTAGTAATACAGTAGTGGACAGGAGCCAAAGTGTCTTTTTTTTCAATAATCTTTTTTTTAAGATGACAAGCTACGTGTTTATGGTAAAAGATTGAAAATTTTCAAAGATACATAGGATGTGAACGTTTCTCTGAATCTAACCCTCGGAAGTAACCATTTGCAATGCCATCAGCAGGTCTTCTTGGGTCCAACTGGACATTCATCCTCACAGGACTCGTGTACACCATATTTATCACTAGGTGACCTGTGAAGGATATGCCAGTGACCACTGCTTTTTAGCAGTGCCTGCAGCAGTCCACGCAGCTGTCCTGTGCTCTTCTCCCAGTGATAGCTTAGGTGCAAGGGGATGAGATCCACGTGGGACAGATGCGAGAACCACTCTGGCATCACACATTGTGTATTGAGGGAGCCAGTATCTCTGGGACCATCTTCATGGACAGAACTTCCAGAGTTCACAAGGGACATGCTGGGTTATAAAAGTCACTTCACTCAGAGAAATCTAAAGCTATAGCTTCCAACAGTAGTAGTACACAAATAGTTGATCAATTTATCAAGCAATTTATCATTTTACTGTGAGCAAGAGTACTTAGTAACAAAGTTGGCATATCACCTTATCAGGTTTCCAGAGCCCTCTTGATGGACATATGGGTAGTTCTAGATTTTTACTGCTGTGACTACTTCCCTATGGACATTCTTCAAAATATATGTCTTCTGATCTACTTGTGCAGACTTTCTTTGTGAAGAAATTTGGTAATTGCTCAACTGTTCTTAAAGACTTAATTTACAAAAAACAAAACAAAACAAAACAAGATTAGGAAAGAACACACAAACTGGGCAGACTGAGAGCCCAAGGGCCTTCACCTCCATTAGTGAAAACGTTTTAAGAATTCCTTAACCATCATTCAGCTATATCTTCTAATCCCCCTGTTTACTCACAATTATTTGCTTAATTATTTACTGTAATGTCTCCTTAAGGAGAATGATGTCAACTGGAGATCCCTCAGGGATACTTTATATACACTTGGGTAGTGGACCAATTAAAATGGGAAGGAACTTGTTGATCATTAGATATAACATATGTCTCTGAAGAAAAATAGAAAGAGCATAGGGTTATTACCAGAGAAATGAACTTTTTTTTTTTAATTGAAAGTACAAGAAGCTACTGAGTCCCATGAAACTCTAGGGAGTGCAGAGTGAGGGCAAGGGAAAAGGCAGAAACCAATGAAAAAATTAGTTCATTATTTTTGCATGGTGATAAATTTCAGAATAAAAAAAACCCTAAATTCTTTGTCCTGAGGAATACTAAAGAATAATGGATTGGCTGCTTGTGACCTTAGATCATATGTTAAGTGTTATGCTCATTCTGCTTTCAGACTCACTGTATGAGTGGACTGAGCTCTCACTGGAGGTACTGCATTATTCAAGATTTTTGAAACTGTTGTTTTTATTTTTTACTTTTTTTAACTCTAGCAGTTTCTTCTGGATTCTAAATAGGTTTCCCTTTTGTTTTGAATTAATTTGTGCTCTTGATATACTGACATGTATTGTGCAAAATAATAGCTCCTTCTGGCTTTCCTTCTCTGTTTCCCTTCATTGACCTTGTATGGAATCTTAATCAAATTAAACCCTGTGTTTTCAAATTTCACATCTGTAAAATGATAATGCCACAGCTAGTTTGTAAAAATGGAGAGCCTCAGATAAAATATGTTATTAAAAGCAACTATGAACTATTATGCAGTATCTGCTAGAGAGCATGTCTTTGAAATTTTATCATGCAAATCATTTCCACAGTCCTCTTTATATGAAAACTATGTATTATTTTGACTCTATTAAAATCAGTTTAATTCTTTTAAATATCAGTCAAGCTATGTGCTTAGGAACAAAGTCTTGGTGCCTGCCCTTCTCTCCTCTATGGAAGAGGCAGTTACTGTTTATGTCTGATGCCCATGAAGTTTACTTATGGATCCAGATCACAGCCTGAGAATCCATCAAGACAAAAACATAGCTCATCAAAACGCTGAAAAGAAACACTATTTTAAAACCACATCCTCTGCAACCAGCAGAATGAATAGTGAAGACCCCGTGTCCCTCTCCCTCTCCCCTCCTTTTGGATGAATGTCTAGTGGGCTCTGAATGTCTTTAATTAAATAGGAGGACATGAGGCTGCAAACTCAGAGGATCACTGAGTAAGCCACCCCTTCCAGGAGGTTTGGAGATGTCGACCTCTGTCTGATTTTTAGAGGACTTTAGTCCATTTAACATGGAGCCCTCCTTTCCAATTGCCAGAGCCTAATAGGCACCTTCCCTCTTTGGAGAATTATCTCACAGTGAAAGCAATTAAGCATTGGAATCCATCATTGAGGGTCCTTTTGTAATCTCGGCTAAGAGTGATTCTGAAGCAGGCTTGTGGTGTTCTGCCTAGAGGCAAGAGGATGAACCATGAAAATGGGACATTTTGTGTATTAAAATGTACAGTCAAAATAAATGCTAAGGTAGCTTTTAATGCTTGTGCATGGTGAGCGCATAAGTTCTGTGGAGCAGGTCGTGCTGCCTCTCTGCATCATAACTGAGTTATCACAGTGAGTTATTCGAGTCCCCTAGTTGCAAACAGGATCAGGCTCCATCAGCCGCATCCTCAAGGGGACTCCCTTCTCTCTGCAGAGCTAAGGGGGACAATGTTTGCAGAGCTTTCCGGTAAAACATGAAAGATTGCTATGTTAGAGCAACTGTTTTTTCTTTCAGTGCCCAGTAAATACCAATGGGATGGAAGAAAACGATTAGGCAAGAAGTTATTTAATTTGTATATGGAGTTTCAGTTTGTGCTGATAGAACCATTTCTCATCTTCTTTATTTTCCAAGTAATTACCCCAAAGCAGCACCAAACCAAAAAAAAAAAACAAAGAAGAAAAAAAAAAAAATAAATAAATAAAAGCAAAGGCCTATTGGCCTTACATTTGTCTTGCACAGCTATTTACCATCCATCACTGAAACGCATTTAAAACAGGTTTGTAACCAGCATTCCAAATTTAATATAAAAGTTTCATATCTACTCACCACCCAAAGTATAATGCTACCAACCATAGCCACAGGGAGCACCCAGTTAGCCTTAGATAAATTCAGCTGCATTAAGCCCTCAGCCTTCTTGAATTTTTAAATGGCAAACAGCTATGTAAGCAAAAACAGAACGCTGCTAGCTGCCTGACCTGGTACGTTAGCAGAGGCCTAGGTAGCTCACCATTCTCTCCATCTGATAGATAAACAGTAATTAAATCATGGCTTTCAAGAATGGGTGGGGCGCAGAAGACGTTGGAATTAGTTGGGGAGCTTTTCCAAGATACGGGGAGTCAGGCCCCAAATTAGGAAATTCTGATTCAGTACATCTGACGTGGGGCCTGAGAATGTGTAGCGGGGGGAAAAGTGTCTCCCAAATGATGTTCCCTGGACCACTGGTTAAGAGACTGCCTGTTGTTTCTTTTGTATCCATTTTGGGAGCATTAGTTGATTTTTCATTACTATGCATCACCAGACATAAAAGGTGATTTCAAGTGACAAGTAATCTTGTCAAAATTAATAACAGGCTATTTTAAACCTAGATAATGAAAACATGTTGATTGTCTCTTTGATCACCAAAGACTATGGAACGTAGAATTGTGTGAGGCTGCCTCTGCAACCAGCAAGGAAACTTCAATAGCAGTGGTTTAGAACTATATGCACATGATGGAACATAAGTACTTAAAGACTGAGCAGTCCACTTTTTTGTTTTAGAAGTGAGGATTCAAATACTCAGAGTTCTGTTCAAAGTCACATCAAGAGTTAGGCCAAAGGCAAGGTTCACGTCTCCTAAGTCCTGGTCCTCCTGTGTCCTAAGTCTCCCTGTCCATGACTTCATTCAAGAAGGGAGAGTTTTCGGAGTGCTCCAAATGAGACCAAAGAGAAGAAAATCTGTTCCTTGTAAAAATCTGCTGAATAGCAAACTTCCATGGATGATAACTAGATATTGAGTTCCTTTTATTGAGTGTCATGACAATGACAGGTTCCTGTCATGTCTTGGTCTCTAAAAGAGACAATTAACATCATAGTAAGAGATGGAAAATACAAGCTTTTGAATTAGTTCAGTTGCATAATTATTCTTAAAAATTCGATATGAAATTCTCACAGATCTGAAATGTTTCTCACTTTTAAAAATTGTTGCGACATACGTGAATGTCCCCAATCTATCTTTACTGGCTCATGCCTAAATAAAATTGACCCTGGCTTTGGGAGGAGTGAGATTTTATGTGGAGAAGTTATAA